GACTTTTGTCAAACTCCCAAGTGTACTTGTAAGGTCATCGATCATGTCTTTAAGTCATCATCAGGCACACACACACATATTCATGATACTCACAGTTTCTCATCTTTTTTCATCCCTTTTCTTTCCATAGTTTTCCTTTCATCATCTTCTTCCTATTTTACATACTCATTGATTCAGTCCTTTTTGTGTAAAGGCTAAAAATGTCTCGTCTAGATAAACTCTTTTTTTCTCTCTTCTCTGACCATTCTTTTCCGCTCGGTCAGTTTACTTTTTTTTGTCTGGACAAATATTTCTTTTCTTTATCCTCTTGTTACCTTGTTAAAAATGCTCATGAATCTATTCATGAAAAAAAGATAAATGATCATTTGTAGCCGCAAACACATCAATTGTATCAATATTAGCAACTAAACCTCATCACACTTTTGTCTCTAGCCTTTGTCTTTACTCTCCAAGAGTTTGCCTCCCTGTTTAGACTTGCCCATTCAATGGAAGATTTTGTTGTTTCTTTCAGGGAAAGCTTGACAAATCTTGAATTTTGTTATTGAAATGTTGAATAATATCAACTATTTACTTGGCATTTGTATGAATGTTTGACAAAAGATTTTATTGAAAAGAAAGTTTCAGAATCTAGAATCAATATTGCTCAATTATATTTGCTGTTGATGGAAAACGTCAAGATTTTTCATTCGATTGCGGAACATTCAATGAGTTAAACTTCAAAACGCGTAATCAAATACGTAATTAGTGTTATTATGATGATCGCATTGGACTTTAAAAGGTAATTTATTGTACATGAAATTTCTTTCTGGGTTTCTTTGATTGTTGCAAACTTTTGCTTGGACAAACGTATTACTCGCTACCTTTAACTGTCATTATTGTTAATTTATGGTTTATATTCACTGATAGTCAAGGAAATCAATGTTTAATTTCTGATCGCGAAACGTTAGGATAAATCGGAAAACGCGACTCTCTCTACGATGGCATCGACTTCCTTGTTGAATTTAAAACCAGCGTCAATTCATTTGACATAATTTTGATGCAATATGCAATGAATAATGCCACAAAACTGTTACAATGATTAGAACAAACCAACTGTTACAACCGAACAATCCACAATTTTAAAGATTCAAATGCTGCAAATAAGATAGCTTAATTCGATGTACCTTAACAATTATACTGAAGCTTCTATTCAAAGCGAATAGATTCATACCATAAGCAGTAAAGTATCGTTTAGAGTGCAATTTTGGGTTATTTTGCTATCCATTCAACTCATTCAGTACCTAGTTAGAGCATTTATTTAAAAATTTACTTTCGCTTTCTTGAAAAGAGGCAAATTTAGTGGAGCAAAAACACTAACCAAAACTACCGTTCAGTTAGAAGAGTGTCAATTTCAAAATGACCAAATTTCTGAAAACCTTTGTAAAGGCAATAAAAATGTTTATGACTTGCTTAGTGCCAATAAACGCATCTCTTTTTCAAGTCACAAGCAAACCCAATTCACCCGTAATTAAGTAAATGCAAAGTTGAAAACCTTTGAATGAACCAAAATATCTTTCGAGACTAAATCATAAGAACGCAAAACGCAGCAAATTTTGAACGAAAACTAAACAAGACGAACGATTGTGAACTCGTTTGATATGAATAAATGCTAGACTGGCTAGACTTGACGACAATCATTTTTAATTTGTTTTACTATTAACAATCATCAAAATTCCTGGTGAATAATTGACTCAAATGTGTTGATGTTTATCTCTTTTAACATGAATAAACATGTAAGACGGAGAGACGATGAGAATGATGATGATGAGGATAAGACAGGAAAGAAAGGAGAAGATGTTTAAGGACGAAAGAAGATGAAGGAATCGTAAAGCGGGAAAGTGAGAAAAGAGGAAAAAACCATAAATCACTCTAAATTGTTTTTATCTTGTTCCTTCTTCTAGCCTTTAGACTCTTCGCTTTTTTGGCTGTTATAAGCTGTTGTTGGTTGCCTTTTAAATACTTCAAATTAGCTAAGCTTACTGTTGATTTATGGTAAAGATAAATGTCATAATTAAAACCTCAGGTGAATACATTGTAATATATATTTTGTTGTGTGTCTAAGCGGAGAGTAAAGATTCAATATACAATCCTTTCCTTTCGCTAACCTGGTTAACAGCTTTTCTCCTCTTTTCCTTCATTAGATCATGAATTGAATATTCAATTTCAACATTTAATATATTCACAAATCTCAAACATTTTCGCACTTTTTTATTCTCAATTTAAACATTTTCCACATTAATTAGTTAAAGATGATCTCTTTAAATTGCAGTAAAACTTTTCACAGATTGACAACTTTAATAGTCATTTGTTATACTAAATTGTCAGCATTAACACATTTTTCAGCGAACTTTTCATTTTCCTTTTCAATGTGGTTTAGTTTTTTACTCCATTGGATTGTTATTGAATGACTCAAGTTATGACGAGTTGCGAGTTCCGTTGATCGACAAAAGGAAAATTTTATTATGCAAGAAGCATTTGGAATGGCTATTTGATTATCAAATGCTGAAGGATTTATGCTTTGACTTGTAACTTTTTGCATATCGATGCATATTCAATATTCAATTTAATGTTAAAGTATGGCTTCAGTTCAATAACTGTAAACTGTTATTCAGCGAAATTAGACAAAACTTTTTTTCTTTCGCTTTTTTCGATCTGATAAGTAATGACAATTTCGTCAAATGAAGGTTCCTTCTTAAGCTAGAGGAGTTATTGGGAAGTTTTAAGCATTGGTCGACAAATGCTGTGATGGATCGACAATTTTATACATTTTCATGAAGCAACATTTGATTTTTTTGTCAAGTTTCAGTAATAATCAATTTAAAGGCACAGATATTTGATTAAAGCCCAGATTTCAATTTGGATGTTGAAAGGTTTTTGCATGTTTAAGTAAAGCTAAGGTTAACTGATGACTCTCAAAGGGAATGTAAATTTTGTAAACGAACCGAATCAATCGATTTGTCAAGTATTTTCAACATCGTTTCAACAACTACATCATTATGTGATTTATCGACGAAAAGATTTACATTTGAGCTAAAATTTGTTTATAATTGATTTGAAACTTAAACTTTGAAAATTCATTGGCTTTTATTGAGCAATTGCATTTTATTGAGGCATGTTACACATGATGAATATTGATCATCCCAGAATAAATTGATTAACATTAGTTAAAATTGAATTTATTTTCAGTGTAAAACCTAGCGACATCTGACGATGGCCATATAATAATATACCGCTTATTGTATATCAATGAACCTTGTAGCGTCATCATACGGACAAGAATGAAAGATCACATTGGATGGCTCAAAATTTCAAGCATTTATTTGTATTAGCAGGTATTTGTTTGTAAACAAATGTTTATCGTAAATAACCGAAAGATCATGATGAGGGAAACAAGAAGATGAAGCGGGCACAAGTTTATCGATGAGACTCAATATAACAATAACTCATGTCTCTTGAAAGATTATGTTCTCTGGAAGCAAACTTACACATTATTTACATCAACCAAGCATCCTCCATCACTTATCACTATTAAATTCTGCCTCGGTGTCATCTCGAATAGCCACAAAAATGTGAGTAACTACTTTGGCTTGATTTGATATTAAATCAAGATGTAAACTCTTCACGTAGTGATGCTACATACCAAAAACTCTCAGTAACTGAACATTGCTGCTGCAATTCAGCGAGGCCCTTTAATGTTGTAATTACAACTTTAATAATCAACAAAATTAACTTTGATTCATCATCATCAGCTCAAGTCACTGCAACAACTGTTTAAATAATAAAATCTAATTATCTGGGATTTTTTGGTAAATCATACATTTTCTTAGGACAACATCGTAATATTGAACTGTTAACAAGTTAAGTTGAACATTGAACAAATAAAATGAAAGATTCGCGCAGTTTATTACCAGATCAATCCTGGTTACCATGATAATACAAAGTTGGACTGAAAATTTAATGCGATAACAAACAAGGAATGGAATGAAATAAGAGAAAAAAATAATTGTAATTAATAACGAAAGAAAAAAGTATTCATTAGCCATTTTTACTCGCAATGAAGGCAGAAAATTGAGAATAGAGTATTACTCATTCGAGTAGAATGGTAAACCTTTGCAACTGATCGTGGCAGAACAGTATGCCGAGGCAAACTTAATTTACGATCGTAATCGAATCGATCTTTTAAGATTTGATAACTCAATAAAGGATCGACTGACCAATACTACAGAATAGTCCATAAATTGATCAATTTAATATTGATAAAGGCGATAATCACTCAATTTCGTCATATTGAGCACAACTCCTTCAAGTTTCTTAAGAGACGTCAATAAATCTAAAAAATCAAAAGTAATACAAAAGTCTGATCTGATTGACAAAATCGTCCAATCGAATCTCATTTAAATTAAACTAAACTATCTTGACATGTAAACTGACAAGGAGCGACCTAAGCAATCCTAAAAATTACAGTTAAACCCACTAAATAAACTCGAGCGGCGACTCAGTAAGTTGGGACTTGAATATTAAAAGTTAGCTGACAGACTCTCTTATACTCTTATCTATTTATTAATACAAAGTATAAACATGGATTCAAAAATCAATCTCTCAATACTTGAATCTTGAGCTGAATCTTTTCTCGATCCAGATCAACCTAAAAACTCCAAGTCTTGTCCATAATTTTGGACCGAATGAATTTCATTTCTGGTTTTAGAGCAGCTTTTAAGAGGCCATCCGAAAGAGCGCATGATAGCACCATCTAACGATGATCTTATTATTTAGGTTCGCTATAGCATTGCCTATATGCGGTATGCGCATTGGCGCAATGCGACTCAACTGGAAACTGGTCTTGGAGTAGTTGCATTGTGAGCCAGTAGAGGCCAGTGAGAGACGAATCCGTGAAAATGCTGTGAGTGAGTTGAAAGTTTGTTTGAGCAATGGGAGTGAGAAGAAGAAGATGAAATAGTGAGAGTTAAGAAGTGAGAGAGGGAGGGAGGAAGAGTAAGTTAGTTAGAAATTATTTCTTTTACAATCAGGTACAAAATTAATGGCCATGAGTTCGTTTAATTGTTTCTCAGCAGCAACTGAGAGTTATCATTCCCTGTCGAGTTACTATGATGCTGCTGCCTGTGACTCCTCATTGAATAGTGCATTAAGTAGTGTCCTCTGTGAAAGTTCAAATGGTTCCAATTGTGGACTTAACGGTAATGGTGGTCATGAAGGTTTAAGTGTAAACTCTTCTGAACAATCACCAGTGTCTTCTTCATGTGTTGATCCTCATCTTGATCCTCATCTTCACCCTCAACTTACCTTTCAACATCCTCATCACCCTCAAACTCATCACCTTCAAACCCATCATCCTCAACATTCCATACAACCTCTTCATGGATTGAACCATCAGCAACATCAACAACAACACCAACAACAACAACAGCAACCGCAGCAACAGCAGCAGCAGCAACAACAACAACATCCACCAGTACCTTCAGTACCACCAGTAACAACAGTACCATCGGTACCATCAGTCGGACCCCAACAACATCAACACACTTCACCTCATTCTCATCCTCATGCTCATCACCCTCATCATCCCCACCATCCTCACCAACAATATTATGCGACTCAACTACAAGATGTTAAACCAGTGATTAATGACCCTCCTTCACCTCCGGGCTGTGCAATCTCAGGTAAGTTTCAAATGATTGTCTCAAGATCACCAGAAGTTGCATCAAAATAACCAAAAATTTCAGCCAAGGTTTACTCAGCAATCAAATAACGTTGCAGCTAGCTCAGAACTCGACCTAAGTCTCAATATCGAGACTATATCACAATGAATTCAGCGTAGTTCAACTAAGAATTTGATGAAATCACAGAAACTTTTCTATTCCAATTCATCCAACAATTCCATAAAGTGAAGTTGATTCAATGCAAAGTTGAAAAATCATCAGAATCATAAAAATGACAGAACTAAGATTCTTTATTTTTTCATCAAACGAATCACAATTTACAGGTTTATACGCATTAAAAAATACTAACAAAAATATTCGCTATTAGACCAGCTTTGCCTGAAAAAAGTTGACTAAAAGTCACTCTTAACAACTCAGGTTTTAATTTCAGGGAAAAGTCAAAGTTGCAAGTTTTAGGTTCCCAATAACGACTTTTGCACAACGAGTTCAATATTAAAGATTCAACGAAATGACTTGAGATGCACTTTGAGCAAGTTTTCATGTAAAACTTTTGAATTTTGGACGCTATTTTCATGACAATTTCATTTCAATGATTTTCTTTTTCTCATTAATGTTTTTCGCCAGACGTGGCTGATGCGACATTAGCCGCAACAGCAGCAACAATAGGCTTTGACTATGGCAGTGGATTTAATGGATCGCCTTATCTAAATCATTTTACACCTCCTCTTCATCACCATCCACACCATCCTCATCACCCTCATCATCCAGTTCACCGTCCACCTCATCATTACACTCATCATCATCGCCATCATCCATATCACCCAACAAGTCGGACCAATGTCACCGGTGGCAATTCACAAGCGCCTGTAATACATAAATGGATGCAAGTGAAACGAAATGTTCCCAAGTCAAGTGAGTTTCAGTTTCATTCAAAAATTTAGTCTCTTTTTGTTCGTTTCATCATTTATTTAGCTTTAATTTAATTTCCATCAGCTTAAGTTTTTCTTTGTTTTCGCCGTTAATTTCATTATTATTTTCACTCCACTCTCCTTAATCCACGTTTATCCTCATCATTCAGTTGACACTTTGTTACACATTATTATTCAATCTTTAACCCTTTTCTTCGTCATCTTGTTCTGTTCTCTTGTCTTCTCTTCTCCTACAGATAACTCTTCATACTTAGATGCTCCTAATAACAGTTATTCATCAAAGTGTCAATGTAATTATCTTTTAATTAATTGTTACCAAAATGTTCCATTCCATCAACCCAAAACTAAGACAAAACTCAAGTCGACTTTTCAGTTCAATCAATGCTTTTATAATACAAAAAACTTTTCAATTTTCATCTAAACATTACAAGTATTTTGAAATTCATCATTGCAATAGTTTAACATTAATAGATGAAAAACGACTTTCCAATCCACTCAGACATTGATAGGCTTTTCTTATGTTCAAGTCAAACTCACAAAATTGAGTCCTCAATAGTGAAGATCATTGCAATTAATAATCAAGAAAATTCAAGTTGCAATTGTTTTTGAAAACCAAATCAATCAAAAATCTTTAGATTCCCTTCAAAAAACCTAAATTATCAATTTTAAACTCAGAAAGTCTTCAAAACTTTATTAAATAATTTACTGCATATTTCTTGAACACCAACAAAAGTTTGAAAACAATTTTTGAAATGAAAAAAAGAAAAAGAAATGATAAAATCCCAAAGAAAATTCTGTTCATTGTTTTCCATTATGCTCATGAAGTAGATTGAATCGCTATTAAAGTAAAAAATTGATAGATAAATGCCAATCTAACTCGTTGAGTCCATCAAAATTTCTAATTTTATTGTTGAGTCAGATTCATTTCGATATTAAACTGTCTTCAAAAGTGATTTACCTGAGTTCAAGTTGTACTTGCACAATGGTCAAAGGTAAATCCAGTCATTTTCTGCCCTTTTTGTTTGACCTTCTTTTTATCATTAATAATGACATTTGATTATTGAACATTTTAGTGAAAAGTAGTTGAAACGTTTCACTAATTTGTGCTCAATTGGCCGCAGAAATGAATGAATTATAGTTTATTATGATAATAGACATTGAGGTTTGAACAAGCAACAAGCTAAATTGATTGTATCATGTTAATGATTGTTGTAATATATTAATGTATATTTTACTTGGACACACAACTTGTACAAAGCTACTGTGTTTAACCGGAGGTTTGTTCAAGAAAAGCAAAAGCACAATCGGTTTTGAAGATGAAAAATGATCTTTTCTTTTTACCTTTTTTCGCCTTGTTCATGTTCATGTCAAACCTGTTGATGGGGAATCAAAATTAATGGATTTTTTCCTCTTCCTTTTTCCTTACCTTTTCTCTTCTTCTCGTTCAATCGTTTCAAACCATTTAACAGATACTTACCACCTTCAATTGAATACATGGTCATTACCTATAAACACATTCATGTACTATCTACCAATCTATACATTTTAGCACAACATTAGCCTTCCGTCAAGAGCCAAAGTAAATATAATGTCTGTTAACTTAAGGTCACTCTTGGATTCTATTCAATTGTTGCGTTTTCTAGTTACTTTACGTTCAATACTCTTACCATCTTTAAGACCAGCAAAATAGCACATTATAATCTCTACTTGATTAGAATTTTTTGCTCAATTTTTTTTAAAAAAAATTCCATTAAGATCGACTTGGAAACTTTTCTCTGAACTTAACATTTAGTACCAATTATTAACTGAACCAGTCTCCTGAAATCGTGAAAGACGTTTTAATGATAAACTCAGAACTCTGAAGAAAAGTATTCGTAAAGCAGGAAATTTTCATCAATTTTTACACATTTTCGATTCGTTTCTTCACCTTTCTGTTCAGTTGACCAAAGATTCGATTATTTTACATGTGAAGTCCTTTTGGTTCGTTTGGTAAATTGATTGGCAAACGTTTTTTAAAATCGATTGCTTTAAAAAAATGTTTTCACTTGTAGGATAAGTGGGGACAAGCCCTGGTTAGGTTGATTGGCCAATGCTAAACATTGGCTTGTTTGGGTTGATCATTTATGTCTGGTAATGTAGTCATTCGTTAAACAAATTGCCGGCTTGAAAGAAAAGTTGAGATGAAAAGATCGAGGTTTTTGTTACTGCGCCGTTCACCAGTTTTTTGTTTTCCAACTCTCACAATTGTTGCCATTAAAAGGCTTATTTGATAATTTTGGTTGTTTTTCAATCTCACCTTGTGAATTTGTAGGTTGATCTTTTGTTGGGCAGACATGAAAACCTGCATAAGAATAGAGCAAAGAAGCGAGAATAAATTAGTTTTTACGGTCTCGCAACTAAAACCTTGACTTCAGCCATTGTCATTGTACTCGATGATGATCATATAAATAGCCTTTATAGTTGATCAAAAGGGAGGAACAACAGCGATTAAGAATCAAAGTTTAACAAAGTAAATAGCAAGACTATTTCAAGTTTTGAGTTTTTGTTTTTACTTCGCTTTCTTTTTCTTATGCTGTTGTTTTTCTTCTTCAATGAAGTTGCGCAGCAGTTGCATATCTGGTTTGACTACCAACCTAACCTAATCTAACCTAACTCAACCTATCAAGCAAAAAACGAGCAACAACTCAAGGAACAAGTAAAGCTACTCTAAATTGCAAAACAAAAAGAAATGTTAAGTTTCTGAAAGCAAAAAATAAATTAAAGAAAAGCAAAGCAAAAAAAATAAAACTCAAAAGTATGTTCGAGTTCAATAGATTATGACGATTATTAATGTCGGTTTAATTTGAATGGCAGAAGGAACGAAAAGGAAAGGATTTAAACGGCAAAACTGAAAACTTTTGGTCACTCTTTTGACTCCAAAATACTGACCTTTTCAAGTTTTCCCTTTCAAGATCCAACTCGATCATTAATTTTACTTTCCTGTCAATCCTCGACTTTTCACAATTCATCATTTTTCCTCTACTTTTATCCTCCGATCCTTTGGTCAGTATTTTTGGCGAACGAGTGAACAAGAAAAAAAAGAAAAAAAAATTCTCCTTTTCTTCTGATTCGATTTACTCGATAATAATTTCTTGCACAAGAATCTTTATAATCATGTTATCTGTGACTTTGATTATGTTGTAGTTTCTTTGTCTGTATCGCCTTTACCTTTGACTTTAAAATGTTAGTCCTTGTCATCTTGCTCTTGGTATCGGCCGAAACAGAGCGAAAGTAAAAAATCAAACCTCAATCTTGAAAACATTGAACTATCCTGGAAACTAGCTTAAGAGAAGAATGAAAAAAAACATTTTCTCCCAAGAGACAGATTAAACTGTGCAAAAGTATACATTGACCGTGAAAGACTTTGAGCAAAAGATTAAAAACTTTGTGTGCCAATGAGTGAGAGAAAGGCCAAAAAGAGAAGAAAAGGAAGACAAAAAAGTTCAGGTAAATGATGTATTATTTCCGCTTTTCTTGTTCATCTTTTTTTACCTTTACAAAGTTGGACATTCACGGCACACAGAGAGACGCACAAATGGCACACATTGAATAAGTTACTTACAAGAGTTGATGAAAGGTAAAATCTGTTTCAAGTTTACCAATGGTTATTGAGATGTACTTTTTGTTTGTTTGTTGAACCTTTTTTTTTCGAGATTAAATGAGATTTGATTTTGAAAATGATAACATTTGTTGGTTACCTGGCCAGTGATGCTCTTTTGCGCTGTTTCCACACGAAACATTTTGTAGCCAAAAGTGTTCGTGTAAAGAGATCAAAAATTTCTTGCCTGTTATTTCACGTTTCTTCTTCTTCTTCTTTACCTTAAGTCACATGCTGACCCGTCTTGACTGACCAACTGACAAATAATATCTAATAATTAACCTTCAACTTGAGACTGTCAAAGTTGAAGTTAAAGTCAGCTTTGGCTAAATGATTCGTGCTGAGTTGACTTTACTCAATTTAAATATCAATAGTCACTTTTATTGTCTGATTGTTGACTCGTCAACTATCATCATTTGTCAGTATCATCATCGTCATTATAACTTTTCAAAAAGCATCACTTTGACAATCCAATAACTTTGAAAACTTTTTTTTCCTTCTCATCTAACTTTACCATTCTAATCGTTCAACAATTGAACTTGATGTTTAGACAAGCAACTTGGACCATCAAATGATCTCTGAGGGCAAGTTTGAACAGTTAGCAAGAATCGATTTTTTGAGATGAATATTTTTACGACAAATGATTAGGTATCGATCAAATCGACATCAAGAACTTTTCTTTGATAGCTTGATACAAAAATCGATAATTGATGAGTTTTCGAAGGTCCTGCGATCGTATATTTAGATTGGTAAATTTTATTGAATCTTGACTTTTGGTACAAAGAGATTCAACTCGAGTCTTGAAATGATTAGAGATGATAATTTGGAGCTTAACCGCGTTTTACATTCTCAGTTAATTGTTAAATAATTGACAGTTGACGAGTCTGAATAATCAAGAATCACCGGATAAAATGGTTTGATTAAATTATCAATTTTCTCATTTAATTATTCATCAAATGAAGAGCTGGTGAATCTGTCTAATCTATAAACAATCTAATTAAACCATTGAGCTTTACTATACTTGTCACTATTAATCAGATCAAATTGATGATTCAAGTAAAGCATCGTAAATGATGAAAACATTAAACCTTGAATTGTTCAATTTCAAGATTATCCTTGTGATAAAGATTACAATTAGAGTAGGAAGTATGCAAGAGCTTTAAATCACTTGAAAAAAGTCTAGAGCATTTGATGAATATAGATTCAAAAAAAGCAACATTTTTTGCTAACATAAATTAACATAAATGTTAACATAAATTATGCTTAAAATTATTATCACTTTATTCATTTCAAGTCAATTAATTTTAATGGAAACAAGAGGGAAAATTTTTCACGAAAAAATTATCTTTAATTATGATTTGCAGAATTTTGAGCAGATTCAAGGAAACTCGTTGGAAGAATAAAAATTTTCAGAATTGCTCAATTTGTTGAAAATTTTCTTGAAAACTAAAAATTTTCAAAAAACGTTGAAAATGCCGTGTTTTCCAGACCATAGATTATGAAATTGTGAAACTGAAAAGTTGAGTTTGGAAGCTTTTCCGTTGATAGGTTAGGTTTGGTTAGGTTAGGTTAAACCTGATAAAGTTAGGCTAAGTTTTAGCGCAGGCTTGAAGCCAATTGCAGTTAAACTTGAAGTCTGTTTGGGTGACTCTCTGTTTTGAGCAGCTGCCTCATAATTACGCACATTTTTAAACCCGATTTTGATGAAGGACTTTTGGTCCAATCAAATGGTTAGCCAGTTTGATCGTCAAAATAATTAGTGAAATCAGGTTTTTGAAAATAACTTTGAAAATTTTTTTCTAGTTTTGGTGAAGATTCGGATTGAAAACTCTTCTTTTTTAAGTTGGATTTTCAGAGTTTTTTTGTGAAATAAAAGCGCCAATAAATTATTTGCTCGCCGAAAGATGTAAGTGTTTACAAATCATTTAATTTGTCATGATTTATGGCTAGTTAATTGTTGAACTACTTGCGTTGCCTACTTGTGTTCATGTTTAACAAGTTTGACAAGTGATAATATTTATGTTATCCATTGGATATTGAATTAACTGATGATATGTATAATACATAAATAATATCAACAAAACTGGGAAGGAAAAAAATGTTATTTATTGCTTTGTCGTCACTTTTTTTCAGTTTGATTGTTCAATAGAGTCAAGTTTATAGAGTCTTACAACATGAGTTATTGGTATATTAAGGAGCCAACGCTTACGACTGCTCAAAGTGTGGTCATGTTGATTTATGTGTATGCATATGTGACAGAATCAATATTCAATGAACGGAAATAGAGTCCAATGAAGCAGCAAGAGTGAGGGCAAGTTGAAGGGTCAAAAGTTATCTTAAAGTCGAAGAGAAAACGTGAAACTGGAAATTAGTGTTCAACCCAAAAACTGAGCAGTATAAAGTTAATTATCATTTTATGTTAATAACTTTCAAGTTGAACATTTTCCTGTCCCAAATGTGAACAAATGTTGTACTGTTCAAAGAATAGACTACCAGTCAGCACTATTTTTACCAATGTTGATTGAAGCACGAAACTCGCTCATCAATCGGCCATTCAGATCAAAAACCCGACTTTGTCAGAAACTCTATTTCTCTGTCGTTACATCAGATAACCACATAAGTTTTGGTCTTTTCCATGAAAATCATTCTTCAGTCTCGCTCTTCGGTCGATTCGATGTAAGACGAATTTTCGTCTTTTGATCTTTTCTTTTCAATTAATTTTGATTTTTGAATTTTTCGTAATGATTATGACCAAAAATGGTCACATTTACCTTTGAAAGCTGATTCGGGATGAAATCCTGGTTTTAAACTTTTCCCTTGATAGGTTTGGTTAGGTTAGGTTGAACTTGATAAAGTGGGGTCGCTTTTCAATCAATATTGACCGATACAGAATTAAGATTCATGGGTTACATGATCTTGACAATCTTGTGATCTCAACAATGGTTATATTGTACCATTTTAGTCGACAATTGGCAGATATTTTTAGACGGAATTGAAATTTGAACAAAAATTCTCATAATCTCTACATCTTCTTTGTTTAACCCAAATCATCATTAATAACAATATCAACATATTTTTCATTTTTGTTCCCAAAAAATATGGCCTTTTCTTTCGTCAAGCACAGTGAAACATGTTTACGGCTCTTTCATTAAATACATTTCTTAATGAGTTTTATGCTCATAACCATTGCAAAGAGAGAGACTAAAAATTTTTCTCAAAAAATCATTTATTATCTGACTTGTCAAAAAAATATTCACATTTCCTTCAGCATATTGTTACTGATGACCAACATTTATCTTTCAATCTCAGTTGGTGAGTTGACCGCAACAGTAGACAAGAAGGAAAGATTGAAACCAGCAACAAAGAAGCGAAGACACTGAAAATGAAATTGTTTGCCTTAATCTTTTTCACTGAGCCTTCACTTCAATTGATGCAGGAAACTCAAATAATTATTACAATTGTCATCATCATTAATAATGTTGAACGTTTGAAAGGCAAATATTAATACAAACAAACGTAGTGTGTGTGTGTGTTACCCATTTGACGTATCAATAACAGTGAACCACTACTTTTGTACTCGATTATTAGTACATTGTAACACGGACTGATCACAACAACAACTGATCAGCCAAAGTAACTTCAAGTTACTCCTTCACGGAAATGAACCCTGCTGATAAGGTCGTTGTTCATGGTGAACTTTCAACTCTTTAGCGTTAATTATTCCTAATTTTTGACTTCTCTTCTATCTGCACCTTCACTCTGTCTCTGTGTTTCAATTTCAAGTTTCTCTGGTTACAGATAATTCTCATTTCCTCTTGTTTAGTTCACTGCAACAGTTGAGTTTGTTTGGGACATCATAGGGTGGAAAAGGGCATTTAGAGCAGGCAAAGGTTGAGAGAGGAAAGGATTGACTGGATTCATTTTGATGCTCTGTTACGCCTTAATCTTTCCCTGTCATTCAACAGTCGACTGTGCAAAAACTTTGAAGGATCCACTTTCTTTATCTTCTTTAATCATCATTCTCATTCGCCACTCATTTTAACAATTTTACGCTTCTAATTGACTCAAAGTCAATACAATTATATTGACCAATAAACTTGTCAAATTGTCGATGAAAACTTTGATGGCTTTGTTAACTTTAGACCTTTGTTGAGTAATAACAAACGTCCGCCTATTCAACGTCAAACTAAATGTTAGAACCAAACAGTTTCACAAAACAGCCGCAAATGTAAGTCGATACTTGAGTCAACAAAAACTCATGAAGTTTTATGATCAAAAGATGAAGCAAGTTGATCGTAACGTTTAGTTAGAGTTTATTTCAATCAACTTTTATTCACCAAAATATGAGCCAATACAGTTGTTTCATCAGTTTCTTGACACAATAATAATGCAAAATAAGCTGACAAGTTTGAAATGGAAACTCGGTTCAATCTTTGGTGCAACACTGAGCAAATTCATAGAAGAAGAAAAGAGAAAAGAAATATTTTCTTCTCTCATCAATCTGATAAGCTTATTAACATTCCGTTTAACAATGAATAAATATTCAACCATGAAGTCAATTGCAATGCCACACAATTTGTTTCTATTATCACAACGAAAAGCTGATTATACTTGAAGGAGGATAAATAGACTGATTAAAAAGTTAACAGAAAAAAATGAATGAAAAAAAACGATTCTTTCATTTCTCATGAAAATGTTTATCCAAATAATGATGAAAGTTATTTACATATAATTATTGGCTTATCAAATCAATATTTACATTGAAATTTGATATTTAAAAGTGAGACAACAAACTGAACCAAGACTATAAAGAATGGGTGAAATTGGCGAAAAAAGGGAAAAATTGAATTTAAAGTTATCCCAACATGATATAGAGCTTCATGATGTTGCCCTTGTTCATTTCCGTTGTTCATCATGATTCACAATTCCCATCATAAATCCATGTTTCCTGTTGAAAATCAAACTTGATTCTGGATTCATTTTTCATTCTCTTTTACCTTTCTCTTCTCACAAAAGAGATAACTTCCTGAGTTGGTGAATAATGAACAGAAAATGGCATTTTATCTCGCAACTGTTCAATTGTTGAGTGCTAATTCAATAAATTAAAGTGTAAACATTTTTCGCTCCTTTTCCCTCTTTACCATGAATCGCATAACTGTCAAAAAATCATTTACCTGAATCTTGATACTCTCTTTCCATGCATCGACTAACCTGTCAACTCCTTTTTGCACAATTAAATTCAAACTCGATTTCCATGTAATTTTTTTTCTTCTCCGCCATTCTAATCACTTTACCTATTCACCTTTTTCATCACCTAACCTGCATCATGGCAATGCATTTCAATACATTTTTATTGGTTCGTTTCAACTAATTAACTATTCATGAAAGCCAATCAATATCAGCGAAAAAAAATGAAACTCGAGTTTATCGAGAAATGGTTCAATGTGTTTATTCACATGAACACATTCATCATGAATATTTGCAAGCCTGGCAACAACAAGTTGTTAACCAAAAAAGGAGAGAAAAAATCACATCAAAAATTCATCTCATTTTTGCATCAAGAATTATTCAGTCAATTTTTTCTTCTTTTGGCCCCGTTTTTTGTCGCTGATCAAATTATACATTATTTACTTAATATACAATGAAAGTTGTTTGTAGATGTTTTTTTCGTCTTTTTTCATCTTCTTTTCTTCTTTTACTTATTTTTCCATCTTCTGTATCTTTGCTTACTTTGTTTTGCATTTTTACCTAAAAATTGGAGCAAAAAAGTATTTTGTTCATGTTGGATAAGAGAGAGAGAGAGAGAAGGAGAAAAAAAAGGATGATGAAGATGATGATGAAAAAGAAGGAAAAAGTAGAGGAAACTCATGAAAGGCTGTTAAGCCCAAGTTAACAATAATATTGAGCTGACAGTGAGTGATGATCGATTGACAAAACTCGACTGCAAACTGTTAATGCATATTTATTTTATGTGAGTCTCGAGTAGACATGAATTTCAACTTGCATTTAGAGGACAACCAAAGAGTAAAGGAAGAAGAAAGAGATGATCCATTGAAAACCTAAAGGCGAACCTCCTATAGACAGCAATCTCATTTAGCAATCAGCTGTTTCATTTAGATGAACCGAAAAAAATGTCGACTTTTATAGACTTGAAACTTTGATTTAAAACACTTAAAGATTCTAATTGTTTCTTGTTGTTATTCTTGATTCAGATAATAAATCAAGTGATTATGGGTACAATGGTTCGTCGACGGGTAACGCAGTCAATGGCTCAGTTCCCGATTTACTTGGCTCATCGCCTGGCATTACAAGTCTTGGTAATGGTCTTGATGTTAAACCAGTTATTGGAGGATCCAATGCCAGTGGCCTGGGTTCAATGGGTGCTGTCAATGGTCCAGGCTCGGTTGGATCAGCAAGTAACACGGGGCGAACCAATTTTACAACCAAACAGTTGACCGAACTGGAAAAAGAGTTTCATTATAATAGATATTTAACCCGAGCCCGTCGTATTGAAATAGCTCAATCACTTGGTCTAAACGAGACTCAGGTTAAAATATGGTTTCAAAATCGTCGGATGAAACAAAAGAAGCGACAAAAAGATAGCGGTTTAAGTTTAGCCGATACATCAACACCTCCTCCAAACTCGGGATCAGCAAATGGTAATGAAGATACTAATAAAGGGTGTTCAATGTAATTACTTATATTTAGACAAAAAAAAGTCAAAAGTGTCTACATTTACATTACATTATCTTTTAATGTTAAATATTTTTCAATTTATCAACTCAATAAAAGCCTCAATTCATTCTCGTTCAACAATAACAATCATTTCTGCTGACAACAATTTATTTTTATCATTTCATTTGCTTTGTCTTATCAACTGCTCATCGTGTTTTTTTTCGGTAAAACATCTATTTTTAGATTGTTTGAGCAAAAACGACATGAAAATTGGGCAAAAGTTGAAGGAAAAACGGACGAGAAGAGAAAAAAAGATTTCGAATGTTGAGGTTTTCTGCTTTCTTGTACATTCGATATCATCAGTCTAATAGAGTAAACAGATGAGAACGGATCTGGACCATTTTCATGGTAAACAAAAGAGGAAGATGAGGAAAGAGAAGAAGATAAGTAACACAGAGATTGATGGCAATTAAAATGCTTACATAGGGAAAGACCAAGTTGATAGCTTTAAATAGTTTGTGATACAAGTGAAAAGAATAGAGAATTGAGAGAAAATAATTTACAAAAAAAATGATGATCAAGATGAGGACAAAATGATGATAATCAAGTGAAATAAGATGAGGAAAGAGAAGAGGAAAAAATCTGTTTTAATGGATGAAAAGGCGAAAAAAAGTGAGTGAAAAAAAGGTAAACATTGAGATTGTTAAGGTGGCTTAATGGTTATTGTCAGTGGTGATGAGAATGATGATGATGATGATGATGATGATAGATCCATTAAAATATCATTGGCTCCATTGGGAAATCACATTTTGGTTCCTGTTTCACTCTCTTGTTTAGTCAACATTCATTTTGGTTTCAAGTTTTACTTATAAATATTTTCACTTTCATTGTAATCATATTAATATTTTATTTATGTAACTGTAAAAAGCATATTGTCATTTGCCTTTTTGTGTCAAATTTTATCATTTATCATATTTATTACGAGTAAACCTCTTTTATACGAGACTCGAGTTGACTGTTGCCACTTGTTAACTGGTAAAAATTGAATCAATTATTTTCCAATGCTAATTTACTGATTACATCTTTTTATGCAACTTTTGTGTTCACTTTTCTTGCCTTCATTTGTCTACCTTCACTACTATTTATCATTTGCAATCTTTAATTGACTGTAATAAGTTAACCAATTGTATTCAAATCCCAAGTGATAAATGATACAATCAACAATAAGATAAAAAGTTAACCACAAAAAAAGAAACCGTTTTCAATGTTATTCAACTTTAGTCAAAGTGGCCGATCTTGTGTTTTGCTTCAGTTAAGATTTTATCAGTTTACTGTCACAATACAGTCATTTTAGGCTTGCAAGATCAGGTTTTGATTCAAGATCATACAAAAAATGCATTAGCATTACTTTGCTTCTGTTGTCAGATTTTATTCTTGGTTTATAAAGGTAAATGGTTGCTCAAAAACAAATTTTTATGTTAGACAAATATTCATTGTTAAATGAATTAACTTTGGATTGCTCCGGTATTCAGTCATTATCTTAAACCCCATGATAGAATTCAATGTTTGGTTAAAGAATGATGATTGTAGATGCTGCCATTCTCGAAATATCGAGGATCAAAGTTTTGAGGCCAATGTTGATAAATTGAAAAAGTGTTTGATTTTTGATGGTCGCCAAACATTTTTATTGATAAAAAATAAGTTTAGGATCTCTAAGCGCAAGTGATCTTTTGTACAGAGACAGAAAATTTTATCGCTCAAAATAAGTGCATTTTCTCACTTGATCATCAAAAGTTACATCAGGAAAATGAGTTTTATGAAAAAATCTGATCCCATAATTGAACAAAAGGCGATCAAAGCTTCCCCTCGGTCTCAATTTTCTCGAAAACTGTGGGTTGGAGAAACTTTTAATAACACTAATGGCACTACAAATCCACCAAGTCTCAACTCTGAAAAAGGGAAAATTTTCTTTACTTACTCCTTTCAGTTTTATTGTCTTCTAAAAGGTAACACTTGCTCAAAGGAAAGACCAGTTTTTACATTGAACAGAAAATCTTTTTCAATTTTTGAACACTAGAGACTATTTGAGATTTGCTTAGTTTACACTGTTTTTACAAGACTAATTGTCGATTTACTTTTTAGCGGTCCGACTGAAACAAGCCGACAGCAGTCGATTTCTTGTAAAGACAGTGTACTCTAGTCGAATCCGAAAGTTTTTGGTCGATGTATAAACTGGTCTCCCATTTGGGCAAGTCTTACCTTTTGAAAAACAATAAACTTGAAATTGACGCTTAAGTCTTTTCATTGTCTAAGCGAGTCATTGCTGTGTAAAAACTAAAGGGAGCTGCAGTTAGTAAGGTTCAAGCAATCACCAACCAGTATGGTGAAAGGCATGAGAATGATGAACATTTTTGATGCTGGTGAAGATGAAGAAACAACATTTTGATTGTAAAATGGATATCATCTTATCTTGCTCTTATCTGAAATGACTGATGCAAAATAACCCAAAGAGTAAACTGAGTTGAAACTGGTAATGAAATGATCAACTATTAACCAGAGTTATCATCAACCTTTATGAGATTGAATCAATTTCTTGTAACAATAATAAAGCATTATTTGTTGCTATCAAAGTAGACCTTTTCAGTTTCATCGATTAGATGAAAGTCCTAAGTGAGTTGAATTTGGGTAAAAGTGAAAGTTCAGTTTCATGATATTATTATTCCTATAAGGGAGAATTGGCGAAAGATGAAAAAAGGATGTAATTAACTTGCTAAAGGGGTGGTTCAGGGAAAGAGAGGAAAATTTGGTAAGACCGTGTGAAGATAAGAAAAGCTTAGGAAAAAAGATGAACGCAGAAAAGTTATCAAGCTAAGGAAGAAGAAGATGATGAAGAAGAGAGCAAGGGAAGGAGGCAGGGAGAGATAGTCGTATATAGTTTTGTGCATGTATGTGTTTGTGTATGAAAAAAAGGGAAATATGTATGAAAGGTTAGATTCTTTAGATGAACAAGTTTGAGTAAGATTGATTTGATTCCTTCCAATTGGCGCAAGAAAACAAGAAACTGGACCAAAGGCCTGAAAAAAGGCCTTTTGCTTCTTCCTTTCAACCGAACCCAGGTTTTCTTCATCATTTTCATCATCATCTCTCTTCTCTCTCTCTCTCTCTCTTTTCCTTCCCCTTTTGCTTTTTGCATTTTGACTCTCCTCTTCTTTGCAAATAACATACAGCAATACACACATAATACAACCAAATATTATACACAGCAAAAATTGGAAAAAGCATATTGAAAGGAAAGCAAAAGCAATAATGCTAAGCAACTTTGTCCATAATAAACACTGAGAATGGTCTTTTCATCTATTCAATCAATTTCTTACCATTTCTTGTTTACTCGCCTTTTATTTTCATCTTTCCTCTGGTTTCTTCTTCCGTTTACCATCATCTCAACTCATCATCATAATCATCACCAACATTATTCGAGGCTTTTTGATCACCCTTGTCGAGTATTTAACTCATCAACAACTATATTATCACCAAATTCAATGATATCAACATTTAATCTCGAAAAATGATTTACTATCAAATAACCATTAGTAATGTTACTTTGCTCATCAAACCCATTGTTTCAGTTAATTTGTTGCTACAATAATCTTTAAAATGATCCAATCTTGTCAGTTGAACTGGTTTTTTGCTTCAGCTAATGGCCAAAATCAAGAGAACTGTTGATAAATTGATAAAGTGTTCGATTTTTGATTGTCACCAAACATTTTTATCGACGAAAAATGAGTTTCAAATCTTCATTTCTTACGTCGACCAAAGCGCCAGGTTTAACCGGAGATCGAAGTGATCTTTTGTACAGAAAAAAAAGTTTCATTTCACAATATTAGTGCATTTTCTGGTTGACCATCAAAAGTTGCATAAGAAAAATGATTGAAATCTAGTCAAACAACTGTAAAAAGGCCATCTAAGTTTCAACTTTGGCCTCGATGTTCTCGAAAATTGTCAATCAGATAAATTTTTAATACTACTAATCAACTCAGTTTTTATGCCCCTACAATCCCACAAAGTCTCAACTCGAAATTTTCTGTACTTGCTCCTTAGTTGATTTAAACCATTGCAGCTATTGTCTTTGCTTTGTTGACTTGTGATGAAATGATTCTGGACAGTTTAACTACAGACTCACCACTCAATTTGAACCGATTTTTGTATTAAACTCACTTTAATTTCAATTCAATTTCATTGGACCCATCACCTCAATATATCTCTGGTCGGCTTACAGATTAAAACCTTTAAGGTTTTTCATACCTCAACATACTCTATCGAATGGCACTTTACTAATTCAAATCGGTTCTAGAAAAACACTTTCCTTGTGAGTTGGAAAAGCGATTTTTTGGAGAAAACGTTTTCCCCTTAAGATAAACAGATTAGATAATGATATCAGGGTTGAGCGAAAGGTATTAATGTGCAAGTTTTGGGCTTTTTGATTAACTAATAATCCACTTTTTATACTGTCAAGTTGCAAGTCTCTCTGTGTGTTGAACAATTAAGTTGAAATGTGAAGCTAAGCTTGATAACAAACAAGATTGACTCTTTAATATGATTGACATTTTACCCCTTTATTACGGTAAATCCTTTTCTTCCTTTCCTGCGCTCATTATCATCATCACTGTCAGACTCTTTACCGCTCTTCAACACAAACGTCGGCTCAAATTATCGGATTACCTTTCATAATTGACAAGATTATCTTGTCCCAATTGGATTGAGGTAAAAGGCTTGAAAAAAAGTCAAGTATCACTTTCACCTTGAACACTTTTACCTGCCCAAAAGGAAAGAAATGAGCCAACGACTAAAGACAAAGAAAAATGTTTCTTTTTGTGGTCAAAACGCGCAAAAAAGCCGATCTTTAAACAATCAGATTATCAACTAATTAATCATTGAATATTGTTGAAAGGGTCAACAAAGAGCAAAGTTAAAAAGTCATTAGCACAAGACGAGGAACCACAAAAGAGCGCATTTAAACACTTTTTTGCTCATTAAAGGTATTTCTACAAGAAATTGATTTGAGAGCAAAAAATGGCTGAAAAAAAGGTAAACTGTTTAACCTGATTTGAACAAAACATCAACAAAACCAATAACTTTTCAATGCATTC